CAGAATGAATGTACTGTTGTTTGTGGTGAACAGTTGCAACCTTCGATGAGGACTGATTTCTTTTAAATATTTTTGGACACCAATAAACAAAACTAAAGGACTCATTAAAGATCTTTGAACATTGGATAAGGCTTTTGTCATACTTGAATACTAAAAGGACTCAAACTAGGATGATTCACTTATCCAGTGCTTTTCTATGTGTACTATGCTTATTTACAACAAAAAGGTTTGTGGGTCTCATGAGTGTAGGTATTTTCATGCTCTGAGGTTTCGATTGCATAGCTTACAACTGTCCTTCCAAATAATACTTTGCAAGCTAATTTTGTGGATTTATCCATGAAAGCACAACTCCTCCATACTAACTAGACTGTGTTTGGTTATTTCTAGAGATGTGTTGATGATTCTGTTGATTTTTATTGGTAGCCGTCATTTCGATGACATATTACCACTGAAGATGTCATCAACCCTGATGAAGAGACATCTACTGTCAACATAATTCTTATCCTCATTCTGTTTTAAACGTTTTATTATTATTTGACAATCGATTTTATTTTATGACACACACACACACACACAGAAACTGGAACTAAATGGACGTGTTGTTTGATACACTCTCATATTATTGATGTGAAAAAAACAATCATCATAAAATTCAGACTTTGATCTAGCTAGTGTGTATATCTGTTATTAACTCTGAAGTAACAACTGTCTATAAGTCGTGTTGCAGACCCTTGAATAAATTCAATTTATTTGTGTATCTTCATTCTTTTATTGTATACGATACATGTATCACACTGAACGAATCAAAGGTTTGTAACAAGCTATTTAAATTAAATTAATTATCATGGTTTATTATTCAGACTAGAATTCCTTTGAGGTAGTTCGTCAGTAACTGACTACTAATAAGTAGTTTTGAATACACAGCTGCATTCAGTTTTAATTCTCTTCATTATGATTCTTTTTGTTCCCAATTCTGTATGAGACTGAAATGTTTAAGGTAAAAGTTGTTGGTGTCACGGACAGATGACAAAATCATGTGATGAAGCTTTTAACCTTTTGGAGTATTAAAAACGAGGGCTTTGACAAAAGTGTAACGATGTTGGAACTTTGATATTGAGTGACTATGCGGTGATGTTACAGTTTACGCATTTGTAGGTTAAATAAACCTCACGATGTTCAAAGTGAACTCAAGACAGTTATTTATTTTACTTCTAGTTTGCACAAAGATAAAGAAAGTTTTTCATACGTTCTTCTCAGTGAGAAAGCGAAAAAAGCATAGATTGCCTAACACAAGTAAATGTCGTCTTTAAGTCGGTCTCCAGTCACCTGCTTGTCCAGGCATTTGTCTGAAAACTAGATCTATCAGTGGTGCATTACAATGTCGCTAATGATGGGAAGTCTTATTTAAGCACAAACATGTCATTTATTACTTCATGACCTAATTACGAAAAAATGTTATTTCTCCAATAACCTAATACGTCTACAATGTTTTTCCTTCCATTTTCGTTATAGGGTTTAAAATGATCATTAACAGTATGAGAAATATGCAGATGGTGAGTCAATCGTCCAACAAAGTGAGTAGTGCGCTGAGCAGAAGACGGAACCGATTCATTGCAAAGGTAACAATGAAAAGTAGATAATGCTTTCTTTGTCAGGTGTTTGTGACTGTTATCATGCAAATATTTTTTACCTTATTTACGATTGCAATAGTGGAGTCAGTGTGAGTTAGATTTGGATAATCATTGCATTTTCATAATCCAGACCTTCGGTGCTTACTTATTTCTATGAAAGAATATGGATGAGCTTTTTCTTCAGGTTAGTGAAATTTACTTTCCTAATACATCTTTAATACTCAATATTTTAAAATGGCGATTTCTGGTATTTCAATGTCAGCTGCATAGTCTTTATAGTGATTCCCTTGCTATCAGTCTTCTAATTATGTGTACATTCACACGGTCAGTTTTCACTACTTCCATGGTTTCTTCACCTTAACATGCAAATTCAACCACTGAAAACCTGTCACATGTTGGTGAGGTTTGTTTTTCTTGTAGATTTTCTGAATTGTCTATCAGTTTACGATCTGATTCATAAGGAGTGTAGATTCAGCATAACTTTCACCTGCACATACTCTGAAGTACTTAGTAAATCTTGTTTTTGATGTCTGAAAGACAATTAAAATTCTATTAGCGAAATTAGTTCATTTATATATTCACTATATAAGTGGGAATTGTATTATTAACCTTGGTTGAAGATATCTTGAACTTCCTGTCGAAGTATTTGTAATGGATCTAACTGTTCAGTTTCTGATGACATGATGAGTCACAGTACAGCTACTCTGACAATGGTTACGATTAGCAAGATGTTACTTGACTGGTAGTGGATAGTACTGGAATCCAGAGAGCGCATTTCGTTCTATTTGCGACTGTCCAGGGAGTGATGTTTTTCGTACAGAGATTCGAAGCCAACACCAATCGTTCCAAACACTGATGCATTATCCACTAGGCTACTGATGAGTGACAGGAAGAAGTATGCGTCTTGGATTTCACTTCTAGAAGGGACCAAGAAGTTATCAACATTTTTTTCGGATTCCTATTCAGAGATGCAACTGACTACAAAATGTGATTAATTACCATTGGTAGACTTTTCAGTTGTAGGCCTGCTTCCTACTCATTGTTTACAAGTTGTTAATGATTCGGTATTTTATTTTGCATAAAACTCAGTTGAAGAATTATCGACCGTCTTATTCTCAGACCACCCATTTTAATGTTCAATTCCAACGGAGAAATGAGCTAACGAAATCTGTGTATATAATCAAATTTTGTTTGATAAGGATTTTGGTTAATTTCATGATAGATTTAGTCACAGACTGATAATGGTTATTCAACCATTGAGAGACAGTCATCTCTGAATAACTGTTTCATCCTGGTTTATGACACTCTAGATACACAGAGGCAATGAATCATCAGGTGGTATCTTCATCTAAGCTGCATGATATCAGAATATGTCATGATTCGTTTGGCTGTCAGCTCTTAGTGGTGTGACTTGCACCTCTCTACAGGAGTATTCGGCAGGTGCAATTGATTTATCTAGTCAACACGGAGGTCTCAGTCAGCTACATTTTGAGTATTGGCAAAAGTTTCTGCAGAATGTTTCAAGTTTCTGATTTCGGAAAACTTAATTACTTGTAAAGTCGTTGTCACATTAGACAATAATTTACAAAGCTGTGAAAGGTGGCATTTAATTAAATTCTCAATTGGTATTTACAAGTTTAAGGTGCAGTTGAAAGCGTCTTTCATCTTCTGTGTTTTATTGAACAGCTCTGTGTCAATCGGAATTACACTTACGGTTTTTCTCGTAAGAGACCTTCAGCATAAGGAGCCATACAACTACCTACTACTTATCGCCTTCGTAAGTTATGAACACTTTATTCCTCATTTTCTTGGTATTTTGACTTCTTTGTATATCATTTTAGACTTCTATTAATTATTTGATGTACAATATAAAAGTGAAAATACTTACTATTCCGCTGACTAATTGTACATGGTAGTAAGGTAGTTAAATTATCAAGTATGCGTCGGTGGCACAGTGGTTAGGACTCTCGCCGACCATGCACATGGTCCGGGGTTCGATCCCCTGCCGGCGCACACCCGATATCTATGGTCGGCCTGAATTTGGGCTACCGATATCCATGCTGAAAATTCCACACTTGTACTGAAAATACGGTGTGGAATCAAGCTGTAAATCAAAAAAAAAAAAAAATTAACAAGAATCACCCAAGGAATAAGTAACGTGAAAACATACTTTGTTTCCCACAAACTAATATGTCTATGTGTTTTAAGGTTTATTGACAGTTTGATGTATGGAGTGTCTCCATATAAGTGGCATTTATACATGACCAACAGGCTAGTTCCTAGCTATAAAATTACTATACGATATTTGTGGGAGCTGAAATTTTCTAATCTTTGGTTTCTGGCACATACAGCTTTCAGCAAAAATGAATAAATTAAGGAAGTACATCCAAATTTAATAATAAATATTCTTCTACTCAACGGCTTCCAAAACATTTACAAGGGTCTAGATCTTGATACTAGGGACTAAAAATTATTGGTTGAGTTTAAATGCATAATTTTAAGTAAATTGAAGATTTCAGATACAAAAACGGATGTAGATGTGTGGGAGATGACATCACACACTATGCACCTGTTTCAATGAAATTTTAGTTGACAGGTTATTTCTCTTTATTTTGTTAAAGCTTTGATGCGTATTCTGGTCATATTCTTTTGAATATGGCATTGACCTCAAGTTAAGTTTTGTCATGAAACCAACTTCCCTTAGACAACCGCTAAAAAAGCAACGGAGTGCTGGATAAATATTTCGTTCTAATTCACAACTACTCAGCAGTTCACACCCATGACTATACTAGTGACCAAGAGTAAAACTTTCAGGTCACTAGACTTAAACGTTACCATTCAATAAATTAAACATAACGAAATTACAGGTGAATACTGAATTCTATAAATTCGTTTATAATATTTTCCAGAAGCTTTGCAACTAAACCATCGAGGCTATAGAGTCCAACAGCATTATAACCGTCCACATGAGCTACAGGTATTCTTAAGTGTATGTGAATATTATATAAAATCACCGTTATAATGAAACATGTTTTGAAATAAGGAACTTCTAAGTTTCTGACACATTAAAAGGATTTCTGGCACCTTGTTGTTAGAAAACGTCGCGGTAAGAACATCCTGGTGTTTTACCTCAATCTGGAATATGTTTTAACCATAATCAATGAGCTAAATCAAGTAAGATTCAAACATTTAAGAAAGTTTTAATGGGAGAATACTTTAAAGCACACTTTTAAAATTTACCAAATTCATAAAATCAACTACTTACCATCCAAAGAAATCATCTTTTCAATAACATTTTCTATAAATTCTGTTTTGAAGACGATCAGCTTCGATGGAGTGATAACCTCTCTTTCAGTTTTTACGCATGGAATGTTCATATTCATAAGTTGGATAATTGCTATCAGTTTATCATTTGTGTCGTATTTATTTGGCATACAAATTGAATTTGATTTGACGAGGAGATTTAATTTATTCGCCATTTATTGTGGATGCGTTATCATTGTTGGATTTATTGTCTGTGGTATTCTGTATGGTCTGCACCTTGATTGGGTAAGTATTGATTGATGTATAATCAATAAATTAGGGTAACATGTTTAACTAACTATCGTGTAGATTAATTTTCCATCCTCTGAATGTATTTCAGCAATAAAAGGGTCCCTGGATGACATCTATAAAAGGTTCAGTGAAGTTAAATTTCAATCTCACTCGTTTCTATGTTAATAGCAGTAGAATCCAGGATGTGGGTTTCGTTCTGTTTACGATGGTCAGAAGTCTAGTAGATAATGCTTCGGCATTTGAATTGATGAGACCTGGTTTGGAGTGTTGATGTGGATACCATCATCTTGACAACGACTCCCAGTTAGGATGAAACTATATCCTTAGATTATATCTCTAGCCTTTACGGAAAAACTAACTGGGAGTTATTTCTCCTGGTAATATTACGGCAACTAATGAAGACGTTCATATACTAAGGTGAATATGATCAGTGCTATCATATAAATCAAGCGGAAATCACAAATAGTGGTAGAACTCAGGGACCAGTGACTCTCGGTCCAAGTAGCTGAGTGGTAACATGCTTGGTCTTTTAGCCTGAAGGTCCCACCTTAAATCCCTATTGGGATTGTAGATGGGCGCTGCTGAAGAGTTCCAAACTGGATCATAATGGCTGCACAACGCTCCATAGTCTTCAGTCATCCCCAAATGATGCTTGTTCGTGACGACGTCTACATTAAGATGATTATATAATATTAAGTTGAAATTCTTCATGAGAAACACTGAACGCTTAACGTCTGTTTCTTTGGATATTTATCTTCATACCATGGGTATTTCTCAATTAAATCAAGATGTGTACTTCTAATAATAGACAAGGTAATAAATAATCTTGATGTACAAACTAAGTATAGAGTGATTTAGCATTCATCATTTCAGAATGCATATTCTCGTTTATTTCAGGTCGTGCAACACCTCATCACACTTTTCGTTCAAGCTATTATTGTTCCTGTAAGTCTAATCAATATTCATGTACGTCCTCCTTTGTTTATTCATCCTATAGTATGTAAATCGAAGAAGATCTTCAAGATATTAGAAAAAAATGATAAGAAAGAACTTTGGACGCTTGTTTCATAAATTACAGAATTCTAATTTGTTCGGTGACGTCCAGTGCAACTCATATACCTAGTTCACTTAGCTTGTACTGATAGACAAAGTAAATGGAAATCATTCTTTTGTACCAGACCACATAGTATACACAGGATTCATCATTATTTACAATTCAGAAAGAATAACAGTTTTACCCGTGAAGAGAACACGTTCTCAGATGTTAACCATTGTAAGATTCGTTTACTGGATTCTTTTTAACCGTGTTGAATTATGAATGGAATTACTGAGTTATTTCAACGAAAACAGCTTGATCATTAACCAGGAAATATTGTTAAAAAGGGTTAACATAAAAGCTACACTTCATACTTCAAAATCAATAACACCATCACGATGACGATATATAAATTACAGTTTAAAAATGTCTAGATATGCGTAAGACGTTTGGTGTGTCTTTTCAAAACTCGTTGATATTCCTTCTGGTATGTGCTTCGAGGAGAGTACTGAATTAGACAGTAGAAATTAAAGTTTTATTACAATTGATGTGCAAATTTATTCATCACAGAGTTCTTCTTATTGATATTTTTCCTTTTTTTGTAGTTGAGTGTGATTGAATACCAGATGCTCTTAGGAGAGAAATATATTTCTTACTCTACGGATGACTATATTCTAGCTTCAATATTTCACTGGATACTAATCACCTTGTGTTATGCAGGATTCATGTATCAATTTGTCGATGTGTGGTAATAATTTGTCAAGTATAAAGCAATAATATAAAAACATAATAAACCTTGGTATTATAATACATTTTCCTTTTTTACTTGAACAAACCACGGTATCACTTAAGTCTTAGTAACCACCTACTGAATTAATAAAGATGCATCATGTAGGGCAATTTGCTATCGAATGTGTCAGCAGCTGTCAAGCCTAATTGATGAAACATTCATCCGAACAGATGATAGGCAAATAAAACCTGTGACGTTACACAATTATAAACATTGAGAGAGTTCATTAGAATGAGTTAGGTGTCTCTGTTGGTATATGTTTCAGTGTAGGCGATTGAAAAGCTTCACATTCTGTGATCATAATGACTTGTAACTTTGTCGAATCAGACTTTTATTCAGATAGATAGAAAATGAATATGAATTATCCTGTGAAGAATGAATGGTTCTTCTTGCGGAATTTAATGTTTCCAACTTATGCATCTGTAGTCAAATCTGAACAAAAATGCGCCATCTTCTGCATGATAACGTGTATATTCATCAGTTTATTTCCAATGAGATCTAATGAAAGTCAAACATCTAATTATCGGGATAATGAGAAGGGAAGTTTTCCATCAGTCCAAAGAAGAATTAAGTTAACATGCTTAAGATTTCATCATTTCGGTAGTAAAATTGAAATAAGCCGTTGACGCTGTAGGATTTAAGATATATTCACTGATGAATACGATGAGAAATCAAAGTAGCAGTGAACTGATTATGTGGGTATTTTGGGCACTTTGTACCTTAAAATATGCATTCAACTGAGGACAATAGTAGCACAATAGAACGGTGGTTTTCGCATTGAAAGCACTGGTTGAAGCATTTGTACAATGTTGACTTCAACTGAGAACAGCGGAAAATGCTTCTAATTCGTGATCAGACTGACATCACTTAAGTTCCTGGATGAGCGCACATCATGGCGTAAGTTTCGCAGCTTTTCAAGTGTTATTTGGCTAGCCATGTTAGTAAATTTTTTTCTGAGAATTCTACTGAAATTCAAATTCATCACTGTAGGTTCTTCAATAGTAATTTTAGTCATCTTATGTTGAAAGACAAACTTCCTGGCATGAATACGACATTGCAGACTTCAGAAATAGGAGACAATAAATAATAAAGGAAATTCAAATATACTAGAATTACTATTATTATTTTCCAGATCGTAGGTGTTACGAATTTCCTGGAATAATTTGAGTGTCAAATCAGGTTGATTCATTGTAAATAATTTAAAATAATCCTGGGGTGCTTGAGAAAAAATCAAAACATGATGTTTCTGAACTTTTCTTTGCGTAAACCATAGAAGAATTATTCAGATTTTATTAATTATCAAAATATATAGTCAAATATTTTACATGAATTGACAAGTTTTAGTTGTCATCCTAGAATGTTGTACAGATATCTAGATGACACATATTTCATCATTAAGAAAGATGAAAATGAATACTTTTTAACACAGATAAACTTCAAAGAGTACTTACTACATATAATATTAAAGTCTTTTTGATTCGACACTAGTAACTAGTGTGATGTGTCTAGTCCTCTCTTTGGTGCAGACTGAATTCTATCAGTCAGGTTGTAATGTGGCCACCATTCTAGGTAGTTCACCATCACGGTGCACATTGATTTGATGAGATTAGATGGTTGGAGGCAATCGGCAGGAAGCTTTGAACCTAGGTTTCATGCTAGTTGGTTCTCACCAGTCAGCAACCCCTCTAATTCCTTAAAGAAAACTCTTTATCGCTTACTTATTCCTTTGTTTTATACAAAACACTTGTGCATGCATGAATCATTTTTCAAATTCACAAAGCAAGTGAATGGAATTATTGTGTCTAACTAAAACCCGACAAGCCGAATTATTAGTACTGATATATATATATACTCCTTGTTCAAATCACTATGAATTACTATGCATTCATGATTGTTTTCTGATCTCAACAGTAACAGAGACGAGACGAAATGAGCTCACGCAATCTGAACACTTCAGAAGGTGTACTCGCTGTTCAAGTTATTTTATAAGATCCTTATTTTCTTGAGTTGAAATTTGTAGAAATGCAAGCAGGTAGTGTTTACACTCACGCTTAGATAATATTTCGTACAAACCACATACCTAATTGTTTTGAAAATGAGAATACATTGATATTATATGGTAAGAACGAAAAATAAAAAATAATAGGTGGTAGCAGAATTCAATTACCGTTAACTAAACTATGTTTGTTTGGAATTCACTACATAAGAATTTGAAAGTGTAATACCGACAATTGTCAAAGGTAAGCACTGACCTTTACATAATGTGATTGAAGTCTCATGGTGTTAGAAGTATTGTAGCTTATTGGTGAATGTACCTCATGTAGTCCTGAGTGGAGAGACTGTAGCCGATGTAATGTTGATAGTGGTCGACTCAAGAGTAGTTTGAAGTGATCAAACCATTGTCTTATTTGTTTTCCACTCCTCCTTGGTAATTAGGTTTCCTTGAACATCTTTTATAGGTTTCATCATCTGGCTGATCTGTTCCCAGATAGATACCTGGTTATCTCATATAATGTTCTGAGATTTATTTTACCTGCGACCAGCCTGCCTGTTCTGCTTCGGTTGCCAGTGTGTCATAGAATTGTTTTTTGTCTTTCCTAGTACTCTTCTATACTGCCCTATTCAGTGCAGTGTACACTGAACTCAGCTTATTCCTCCATTGTCCATATTTGCATTGAGTCATGTTTTCTTTCACCATCCTCCTCTCCTCTCTTTTATTAGCTTCCGAGTATCCGTTGAGAGACATTCCCTAACTTGTTTCCTCTTATTTCCTGAAGCAAAATCTACTTTCACTGATTCTGAACTGGATTACTCAAAGTTTGAGTACCAATCCAAATATGACAGTATTCTATAGATGCTAGTAATCAAGCTGTCATCTTGTTTCCGTTTCATTTTGAGCCGTATGATAGCTAACTCATCCTGCTCGTTTCTAACTCGGAATTGTACCGGAACCTATCTTCGAATGAATGTATGTGTTGGAAATTATGGATATGTTTAGATTTGAACACAGTTAGTATGTCATCCATAAATCTACATCATAACCTGGGAACAGTACCGAATATATATAAATATCTTCGTTACTACTGCAGTTATTGGTGATAAATATTTCACTGGTTATTTCCATCAGTGTAAGCATATGACTAATTTAACTTAGAAATCATTCAAAAAACTCACTACAGCAAG